ATGTCCTTTATACTGTCCAGCTCCTACCTGTTCAAATACTAAAAGCTACTACTTGCAGAATGTGAATGATGTTTTCTTTAACTGTCTTGGCGTTTCCGTGCTCCAGTTCTTAAGTTCTGTTTTGAATAATTAAAAAACACGGTGGACCATCAAATCAAGATGTCTAAGATAAAACAGGGAGGTGGAGATCTGCCTCGTTCCCCGTAGTTATCCAAACAAAGTGACGGGGATGCCTGTGGATCACAAGCACTGCACCTGTAAGTCAATCCGTAGCAGATGTGATCTTCTCTCTCTCTGGCTGTGAGAAAATTAGAGTTTTTTGAGAATACTTTTATAATGTGCATACAGAATACCCTGTATTTTGAGAAGTGTGCACACAGACATTAAGTGCTAAGCGGTGAGCTCTTCAGATGAATTTGATCAAGATGGATTGCAGAGCATTCACAGCATATACAGTATAAAGGCAGAAGGTTTAATAGTCAACAATTAAACAGTACTTTTTTAAATCAATTTAGCAACTGTTGTGTTAAAAGCAATACTGTTGAAAAGTGATATTCATGATTCAAGTCTTTGTAAGATTCATGGCACAGCAAACACTACAGATGCCAAGCCTTTTTTTTCTTTATATCCTTTAGCACAGATCTTTTTCCCAAGACAAAACAGAATCTCATTCTCACATGTTTGGTGAGTTGGTTGCATGGCCAGATGAACCTGTTTAGGGAACCCTGTTCCTTCCAAGTTCCCAAGTACAGAGCACACATCACCTGAAAGATGGCAGCTTCACTCTATTTTAAAGACCCCAAAACCAACCAATTGTGTTTAGGAAAAATACACCATGTGAGCACAATATACTAAAATTATGTCTGTGTTCTAACTAGATTTTGTGGCACAGTGCCTCCCTACATGACAGGGTACAAGATTACATAATAATGTAAGATATTGTACTTTTAGAGGTAAACATTCTCCAGTGAATTTGAGAGTAATCAAATTACCAAAATACAATTGACACAGTAAACCTGGGGCTTTTGGGGGCCTCTGGAAAGCTGTGGCCCTAAAGCAGTTGCAATGGATGGTAATGTTTGGGAACAGGTTAAGTGTTACGTGTATAAAGGAAACCGTACCTCCTCAAACAGATTTCAAATGTCTTTGAGGCATTACAAACATGGCCAATGGCACACTTATACAACTCACTACACTGGTGACCTTTGCTAGCTATCCGCTGTTATGTTCTCATCCACTTGGCCTCCGCCCAAAAGTTCAAATACTGTACGTCCTCGACTACTGCCAGTACAATTGTCGGAGCATAAGAGAACAAGAGTGTTGGCACACAATTCCACCCGTTTCAGCTGTTTTGGCCATTAGGTCCAATCAGTGCTATCGTCCCCTGTTCTTGTCATGGGAAAGGAACCGCCCCCCCCTCCCAACTCAGACTTGACCAGTGGCCAAAGGGTGGGGACGTCTGTGGGGACAACCCATACATGTGCAATGGGAAATTTTTGACCTCCCTAAAAAGGAAGAGGGGATACATTTCCTCACTGCATGAAACTTGTAATACTTCTAAAAAGAGTTCAAATTCCTCAAAGAACCCCTGCCAACACACATCGTACATAATCAGGATGGCTGGCGGTTTACGTCTTGACCTCTGAACTGGGAATATGTTTGGATCTTTTTGCCTTTGTCTTCTGACCAATATAAGGAAGCTTGGAAGAACTGTACAAGCCAATGTATCTGGAAAATGTGATTGCATGTGGAATAAGTGCAGTAACATTTGAGCATGGGAAAAAACATTAAAGTCAGGAAATCAGCTTGTCAGATTAGGTGGTATGTTCCCATTCGAGCCCTTTTTTGTACAGCACTCCTCCGCAGGCCCTAATGATTGGCCTGCTTTCAAGAATGCCATAATTGAATTTAGACATTACACCATGAATAAACAGCAAGAAAAACTGACAACTACCAACAATTAAAAGTTAATAAACTCACAGAGACACTATTTGACAAATTTCATTTTTATTCAAATCACCACAACAATTCCAAATGAAACCAAATGTGTCATGTTGGAGAACAGAGGCACGGAAATTTATTTTTGGCAACACAGCGAAGATAAAGAATAGGAGGAGCAGAACACGCCATTACTTTAGTTTGGTATTACGCTCATTGAACTGAGCCTGTCATCCAGCAATGCATCCGACGAGAGAGGGCTGAAGGGACTCCCTCATGCCTCCTTTACATACATCCTCACCGCGACCACGTCTCCCATTATGCATTTCTGTGGGGAAAAGACTGAAGGTCAAAAGAGGTGCCCTTGTAAAGATGAATTAATGCGTTTTGAGTTTGGGGAAGAATTTCAGCTGCAGCTATCATGCAAAGGCTATTCTTACCCATCTCTTTATAATATGTGTATGACATTTCTACAGCTAATCTTACAGTTGTTCTAGTATTACTATATGCTAATAGTATTTCTACTATGTCTAATGTTTAACGATTTTTTATAGGATTTTCTTAATCTCTTATGATCCAACTGCATTCTTCCTAGCCTACTTAATTGTATTGCTTCCCCTTCATTATATAAGGATTCTATGTAGTACAATGACGTTTTAATTCCCTACTTTTATCCTACTGTAGGTTTGCTCTCTTAAGTGGAATGTGGGAACAAGGGTTTACAAATAATTTTAATCATCATTTTAATTATTACTGGTCATGAACGTATTACATTTGCATTGGGAGCGTAGTTATTACAATTTAATCATCAAATCAAACGTGAAAAGAGTCTATTATTAAAAATGCAAAGATTTTTATGGGCGACTTTTGACATTTTACCACTGCAGAAACTAACGTACGGCATACATTTAAATATAAAAGTTTTCGCAAGAGAAAAAAATAAAAAAGTCGGGAGAAACAACACACTTACCGCTATCAATTTCCCATCTGCGATCTCCCTCTCGATATTAGTTTCTTTGCCGTCCCAGCTTTGTTTCTGCACAAGTTTGCCGTTCTCCAGAGTCACCACGGTCTGCAGGGCACAGGACAGAGACAAGCCGTTAACTCCCAGCACGATAAAGACTCATGCTGAGATACATGTTCGTTTGTCCCTCAGAGCACACTAACCCTCGTCTTTCTGTCGTCGGCGGTCGTCTCTTCAAACGGCTCGTTGAGCTTGAACTTAATTTCGGTAGTTTTGAAGGTGCTCTGAGACTTCATGCATACAATCCCTTGCTCGTCCACGGTCACTACCAAATTGGGTTTGGTCCGATTCCCCACCTGCCGGGTCGCAAATCCCACACCTGCAAAGCGGGAGGGCAAGATCACCAAAATGCATTAATATATCAAACTTAATGTGTTAATGAGCAACTGCAACTAGTCTATTGGAAGTAGGCTAACAGTTACATTTAATTAAACCAATCAATCATTTGTAGGCTAATAACAACTGGACTTTTCAAAGCAGCTCAGATCATCCTTGTAATATACAAATTGCAGAGTACTGTCTGAAATCAACACAAAAGGCTGGCGTTACCTTTAAAGACGTTAGCATAAGTTAAAGTAAATTCACAATTAACAAATGACAACCTGATGGGTTTTCCATCAGCTAGCTTAAACCCCACACTCTCCTACCAATTGCTTTCATGTAGTCGTCAAAGTTCTCGCTGGAAATCATCTTCCACGTCCCAACAAACTTCTCAACCATGTTTGCAGTGTCTTGATGTGATATCCTCAAAAAAACAACCCGTGGCGTGGCTTGACTCTGGATTCAACTCTCTTCCACTGTGGCAACAGACTTGGAGCGTTTTTTAAAGGGCCACCCAGACATGCAGCCACGAGTTTGAGCCAATCATGGGCCGCTACGTCACACAATAGCGCGCTGAGATCCCGCCTCTAACCTCTGTGGATTAAAGGTGAATGAAAATGTCTGAATGCTTAATAGATCAATTATAAGCCATTAAACACATTGGGGTTGCCAGGTTGAGAAAAAACCCTTTGATTGGTTAGATTGTTTAACCACGTATTTCCACAATTGGGCTGCGAACAATCTAGACCAAGATCCATATATTACCAACTTATCATTGGAAACTGCAGACTTGATTGTTAAAAACCTTTATCCTCTTTATTGCAGACTTAATGGCTTTTAAAACATGGGAACTCCATTAGCATTTAATAATAGATTAGTAACATTATAACTGCATTATTATAAAATAGAAAGGATAAACACAAACTATTGAGATTTAACAACCTCACAATCCATGTGTTCTTATTAATGGCATAAAGGGGATCTAAAACATTAATAAATTAAATGATTTACTATTTAAGCCATTATTTACATGACTCGTTATGGGTTGGTAACTTGCTAGTACAGTAAAAGACATTAACATTGTTTATCTTAGACTATGGATTGTAAACCACAGCAGTAACATGCTTCGGCTGATCATAAAAGTGATGATGATTTTTCTTTATGAAAGCCATGGATGTAATAATACATCCATTAAGGGTAGCTAGCTGAGGGGGCAGGATTTCAGTTATCGGTCACTGGGTGAAAGGTATTTTTCTTTTCAGTGGGGCTGCATCTAAAACTATGTGCCAAATTACATTTGAGCCTGCTGTGTCAAAGGTTGGAGCTTGCATAATGTTCTCTCAAACACTGGAATAGTCTCTATTATCAGGAAAATGGTATATTATGCAACGACACACCATGACCCTCTATTGATCACAGCACATTTTTAGCAGTTAAAGCATTTCAATTGATGTGGTTTTTAATGTGAAGAAAATAAGCACAATTGATGGTGCTAAGGTCAAAACTACTTCCGGTACAATACTTTTTCACTTTGACAGTAGTAAAATTCATGTTGACAGCAAATCAAAAATTTCTGGTAGGATTTGATCCTTAAATGGTGGCAGAATTTAGAACATGTGACTCAAGAGGAAGAGGAACAACTGACTCAAAATCATGCCTGTCCAAATTACGTCACATCACAATCAATGCAGAGTTGCTTCAGTGATTCAAAGGTCACTTCACACCAGAGCCACAACATTTTAATGAAATCATTTAATTATAAACATCCATTATACTCAGCTGAACACAGAGAAAATCAACACATATATTTTACATGACAATCATTTTTTTGCTGCAAGTTTCGCCTGTAGATCCTTGGCTGTGCACCGTGACTGAAATGCACTCAGCATCTCGCTGCTGGTCAACTTTGCTCCCTTCATCACCAGCCTCTCTCCATCTACTGTAGTAGAGAAAAACAAGGACACAATGAGGTGACTCACGACGATACAATAAGTGATCTCTCTATGTCAGGAATACAAGAAGCAACGAGGTGAAAAGTTCACTCTGAGCAAAAGTAATATCCGTAGAATGTCCTGCTGACCTATGGCAGACATTTCTACTTTTGGTAAGTTCTTGACTTATTGTGTGTAAGTCACAGCATAATATCATGTAGTAACAACAGCATGAAATTCCTAGACGTGCTGAATTGTAATTTACTCTGCGTTGTTGGTCCGCATGTGCAGCTCCACCTTTTTCTGTGTTTAATGAGGTTGTACAATTGCCAAATTCAACATCTTGTCTTAGATAATTATTACTAAGCAATAGACAGGTAATTTATTTATCATATAAACATGATTGGTGAGATTAAGAATCCAGACTAGTTACAACACAAGTTGGCTTCATGGGGATAAAAAAAACTGTTGACTCTACATATCTTCAGTGGATGAAATCGATGGCAGGAGTCTGAATTGCAAATGTAAAACTTCAGTCATAACACCCGACAAAGTCTTACAGTTAAATATCTTCTCCTACACATCTAAATGTGGCCAGGTAATACTTACAATAAGTAATATCCACAACAGGTTCAGACTTGTCGTGTTTCACCACGGATATCACCTCACAGTTCATGTTGGTAGCTCTGGCCTTCTCTGAGCCCACCTTGGCCAAAAACTCCCTGTAAGGCAAGAAGAGCACAGCAGGGATGGAAAGTAAGTACACTTATGAAAGTACTGTACTTGAGTACAATTATCCAGAAGTGTAAAGCATTTACTTGATAAAAATAATTCTGCTCTGTTCTTAATTGGCCAGCAAACTCGCCTGACCTTAACCCTATAGAAAATCTATGGGGTATTGTGAAGAGGACGACGCGATACGCCAGACCCAATAACGCAGAAGAGCTGAAGGCCACTATCAGAGCAACCTGGGCTCTCTTAACACCTGAGCAGTGCCACAGACTGATCTACTCCATGCCACGCCGCATTGCTGCAGTAATTCAGGCAAAAGGAGCCCCAACTGCGTATTGAGTGCTGTACATGCTCATACTTTTCATGTTCATACTTTTCAGTTGGCCAACATTTCTAAAAATCCTTTTTTTTGTATTGGTGTATATATAGAGATACTGAATTTGGTATTTTCATTAGTTGTCAGTTTTAATCATCACAATTAAATGAAATAAACATTTGAAATATATCAGTCTGTGTGTAATGAATAAATATAATATCCAAGTTTCACTTTTTGAATGGAATTACTGAAATACATCAACTTTTTGATGATATTCTAAATATATGACCAGCACCTGTATAATGTGGTATGGCAGCTTTTACTTAAGGGGAGACACTACAGGCAAACATTGTTTTATCACGCACTGGTCAATGTTGAAGTTTGGGGCTAATTTGCTTCCATAAAATGTCTTCTTTCAGACTAGTGGAAAGAAAACACCCAAAATACACATTTAAGTTTGTTGGGGTTTTTTTTACTACACTGTCTGTGTAGATTTCTCCTAAATTCACAAAACGTTGGCATTAGATAATGCCTGACTTGCATTTTTAAACATAACATTTCAGAAAACCTGACCTGCAAAAATTAATTGTCTTAATGTAAGTAATCAACTGGGTAAGTTTTCATGGTGATACCTATTAGTTATTTACCTTATTCATCTTTGGTGCCTCCTCTTACGTAACAGATCTGAATACTTCTTCCTCTACTGCATTACAGAATGGTTGTTCACAAATACGGATTACATCAAGTATCAGTATAACATTTTTCACCAAATCGTTTCTATTTTGGGTTCTATTCATGATGCCTACAAGATATCAAGATGTTAATGTCTCTACACACCCGTGGTCCACCAGCACAGGGGTCTGAACTTATTTTGCCTGATTAGACCTCATCTGACAGAGGTTACGCCTTTATTATTCCTATTGGTTGATGAAGTTTGGTTATCTAATATAATTCAATGTTAACCTGAACAATCTAATTAGCCAGAATTAAGTGAAAACACCCGTATGAGTTTGCAGGAACCTTCAATACTGTTTTATCAAATCAATTAAGTTACAACTTTTTCTAAATTTAAAGTAATTTACTCACTTTACTTAGTCAGCATGGCAGGTACCAATGGGATTTGGATGAAGTAAAATATAGGCCCTTAACAGGTAACAGTTAAGTATGACAGGGAAGAATATGTAACTTACATAATAATAAATAATTAATAAGTTACTGCTAAGTTAAACAAAACCCAGCCTGAACTATCTGAGGTTTAGCAAATAAATAATCTTCTAGTTGTGACTGCTGTTTGGAAGTGACGTTACACTGTCGCTAACCTCACCACGTTGTCAAATTACGGTTTCAATTCAATATCAAGTCACACAAAACGACTACACGACACAACAGCGCACTAAACACACACGTCTTACCGTGTTGACCGGACATTAGACTCAAACGGAGAAAACTGAACCGCTATCCTCTTCACAGCCTTCAACACCACGGTCGCTTTTTTACTGGGAGCCGCCATGTTTTCTGTTGTGACCTCCGCTGTGACGGAGGTTGACGCGTCTCACCGAGAGCCACTAGATGGCGCCAGAGGATAGAAAACTCACCAGGGAGGTTAGGGAGTCGACTGGGTAATTGACATCACTATAAAACAAGCAACAAGGTAAGGTAATAAGATCGTAAGTTAATTGATACACATAAGGTATAAAAATGTCACTAATAGGCACATTACAGACAAGTGAACAGTGGATTTTATTTGAGCCATGCATGCAGGATTCTGTGATTAATCTACTTTTAATCCTCTGCTACTTGGTTTTTCAGTGATTTATATTCAACCCTTGACCTGCAGAGTTTAATTAACCTGTAGGCAGAGCTCTCTTACAATCCTTCAAAATCCTTCACAAGATTTGCTTCTTGCTTTTTCCTCTGGGAGTTGTTGCATTAACAGCTGCACCTTATTTGTAAATGCATCCCCAACATGGGGTCTAGAGAAGGTGTTGCCTTTGCTGAGGCCTTTTTGGTTGCTGGGTGTAAGACTGCTGTTGAGGCCTCTGCAGGTGTCAGTGATGTTCAACCACATTCCTGCTCTCTCCTATAATGTCAGGTGTATATGTAAGAACAATAAAAACATCACTGTGTGGTAGATCAGGGGTTTTCAAAGCTCTGACTACACCAAATAGTTAAAAAAAAGGTATGTCCTAAGCCATTTATTAGTTTCTGACCCTGATAGGGGGAAACAGTTACCAAAAACTACTGTTTCTCTGAACTCTCACATATGCAATTGCTGTGCTATGTGATCTCCTTTTGATAACTAATGCAATAAGTAATGTAATATTGTTTCACTTCCATTCACTGAGCCTCCCCTGAAACTGTTTGGAGACCCCTTAGGGTGGCCAATTTGAAAACCCCTGTGGTAGATTAACAGCCTTTTCACCATATTTTTCACAATGACATGACAAAGCTTATTAAAGCAAACTCACAAGGAAACCGACTGTGGCACCTCCCTGTAATAATCTGACAAACAATGTCCCAGAACAGAATTACGTTAGCAAAGGACGAATGGGGGGCTGTCAGGCACTAAGTCAATAACGGAGGTGCTGCTCTCCAAATAGACAATCAAACAGACACATCTTATAATCAAATAGACGAGGCTGAGAAATTATCCCCAGCTACTGTTGCTTCCTGCATTCAGCAGATGAAAAAAAGGTCAAGAGCTTGTCAGGGTATAAAAACACGACAGAAATGCATGGAAATGGAAATGCATTTAAATTTTGACCGTGTCGGCACTCCAGTCAAATTTAATCATTGCACGAATTGCTTCTGTAAAATAAGTGTCTGTGTGTAATGGAGGAGTTTGGCATCAAATCAAAACAACAATTATGCAGTTTTTGCGAGGGAAGGTTGTCAAATTAGATTTTCATAGTGTGTGTATCTCTTGGCCAGATGTTGTCAGCAGTTGCAGTAAATGTAAGTTCAGTACATTTTCTGTTTAGGCTGATAATGAAGTTTCAGTGGTCAGATTTTCTTTTCTCTTACTAAACAACTTGTTTTGAGAAAGACTCTTGCAAAAAAAAGCACACTAAATTTTGCGTGGCATTTGCACTTCCTTGAACTCTGGTTAGTATAGCTGGGTATTTATAGCCATGCTGTTTTTGGGCCTTGTGAAGAACAAATGTGTTATTCTCAGATGAACACACCCGCACTTGTACAATCTATCCTAACTTCAACACGCCTCAAGTGTCTTTCCTGAACGCACCACAATGCGACCCAGCCTGTGACAGTTGGACAGTGGAGGCACGGGGCTCTAAATTTAGACATACGGCTACTGAGAGGCAGAAGCATTTCCTATACACACCCACACCCACCCCAACACACATACACACACACACACACACACACACACACACACACAGTACACAGTACACTTATTAAGCTGTTGTACTGTATGTCCAGCAGTAAGAAAGCGGGGAAAACTGGCGCTCAGAAACAATGAATGCTCAAGGGTACGGTTGACCTCCAACAAAAAAAAGAGGCATTGTCTTGGTGCAGGATTTAATTTATTAAGTTCTCAGCCAGAGCACAATATTAAGTTAGCATATGTCCTTTTCATTATGACAGGATCTTACAATGATGCACTGGTGTTTATGATGCCGTGCTTGTGTCCTGTTAATGCTACTCTGTCATTGTTGTTGCTTCCTAGTGAAAATGTCATTTTTACACCTGTATGACGTACTAACAACTGTAAAACATGTTCCATGTGTCACAACACTGTTAGTTTAAGAGTTCATATACCATGTCCTATAGTCATACCTTGGGCGGCAACCAGTTTAGGTGTGAATATGGAGTGTAGAAGCTGTGATATTGACAGATTGTTAAACTTGAAGCTTCTCCTTAGTGCATGACTTGGGAAATATTGGAACAACATATATGAGGACAGTCAGGGGGTTTCTTAGGAAATACCGGTGCATGTACTGTTATAGAAAAGGTATTTCTCCCTTGAGAATAATTCACAGTATGCAAGGCAGTGGCACTTTGGTAGTACTATATTATGCCAGTCACTATTCAAATTCTGTCTCCCTGAGGAAGTCTTTAGGGTGTCCCCAGATGGTTTGAAGAAGACACAATTCACATTGTCACCAAATATGAAATTAAACAGCAGCACACTTTGAATTATATTTCTCACAGTGTTTATGCTTCTCTTTACAAACTAAACATGTTGGTCATAAAGCATGGAATCATTATCAGGAAAATCAAACATCTTGTATGACAGACTATTGTGTTTAAAGCTGCTGCTGTCAATCCCTGTTGTGTCTGTTAGCACTTTTTTACGTTATTCTGTATTTCTCATTCCACTTCTTATTTTATATTATTGTCTGCTGATTTTGCGAACGCCTCTTTTCTTATTGTCATTAATTTTAGGCCTATATATTTAAATACAGTATTATAGTATACTAGTATAGTAGTACAGAGCTAATTTCATTAAAAATCTAACCTACCAAGACCCAGCCTAGCTTCGTTTAATCGTGAACTCCATGTCCCGTGAAGCTTCGCGCGGCCGCTCTCAGGCACTCCTCCTCCCACCAGCGTCCTGCCCGGTGTTGTGCCCAGAGCAGAGCAGACTGAGATGAACAGCTCCGTGTCTCTCGCGTCCAGAAATGTGCGCAGGGAGAAGAAACGAGTCGCATCTCTCTCTGTAGCCTCCGCAGACAACACACCGCTTTCGTTTCTTTCACGTACCGCCGGCAGGTTTAGACGGAGGATTAACGCGCACTGAACATATCCAACCACTTTCTGTTTAAACCGGCCACTGAATGCTGATTTTAATTTTTTTGGAGAGTCCCCCCCTATTCTCTCTTTCAGTCTCTCTCTAGGGTAAGCGCTCGTTTCCTATCTTCACATGTGTATGTAAAAGTTGTGTTCTTATTTTATTTGTCCTGTCACTGCTGCACTGTGCTGAGGACTTGTGTGTCTGTGTGTGTGTGTGTGTGTGTGTGGAGGGACGCACTGGGAAACTTCACTGACAGAGACTGTTCTGTAGTTGAGACTGCGGCAGCCTCAGCGGTCGCAGTAAAGCGAAATTTGAGTAACTTAGCGGTCATAGTCAAACCGGAACAGACTTGTTGCCCTCCACTAAAGCCATTCGCTTTTCCAGTTAATATTAAACAGTGTGGTGACAGCTAGCTCTCTCTGCTCTGCTTTCTTCATTTAGTCTTCTTTAAAACTGGCTTGCAGTTTTTTGTGTCCCGTCCATGTTAAAATGTATCAGGTTCATTTTTAAGGGAAAACTCATTATGATTTTGCTTTACTTTATTGCAATTTATTGCTGATAAAATCTAACTGTATAACCTTGGTGTTACCTTCACATTCCTATAACCACATACCTTAATTAAATTAATGAATGTGATTTTAAAGGCTTACCATTATATCTATGGGAAACTATATTTTCATTTGTGTGAAATATGCCTGTGCTTGTTTTTGAGATGCAAATTAACTTCCCCCTTAGTGGTTTTAGTCACAGCACACACACACCATACCACATACTGCATGTATGTGTGTGTGTGTGGATGTTGCTTGACCCTAGATGCCCTCAGACATGCATAAACAGCACTGTCCTTATTGACACTGACAAGTAGGTGGCCTCTCCTTCCTTATAGTGTAGAGCTGGCATGCACGCATGAACAAACATACATACTGTATGTGCATATCTGATGCATGGTGAGACAGAGGCACACGCTATTCTCCAACCATCTTCCTCTGTAATTGTAAATCAGCCAAATAAAATGAACACCCTTTTTCACTTTTTCTGTCAGCTCTCCCCAAACCCCCTCCCCACTTTCTCTCGCATACACACATAGGCACATAGAGCCAAATGCCACCATTAGAAACCCCCTCCCCTCAGTCTGTGTTGATGTTGTTGAATAGGAGCTGCTGGCAGGGCATCTACCCTGCAGCAGGCTGGCTTTCACAGAAGTTGACATTCACTTAAGCAAACACAATTTGCACTTTGTTTTAGCTTCCCTTTGCTTTCACTGCACTTCCTTGTGTTATGCTAAACATTAATGAAAAAGCATTTCATCCAACTGACATCTTTTCATGGAACGTGGTAAATAAATACACAACGCTTTGCCACAACTCATGTTTTGAATCCTAATCTGTAACCGAGCCTAGTGAGTGTAGAACATCACATCACAGCCACATTAAGCCCCACAATTTTGTGTTCAAGTCCAGCATGGAAGCAAAATAAGCTGAATGATAAAAAAAAATGTGGCCACCCTTTCTAGTTTTCATGTCATTGTATTGTGTTTATAAGAAAGCAGCTGGCAGGCTTTTGCAGCTTATAACATGCACATGTCAGAGGGTTAGAGCTGGATGTCAGTGTATGTCTAAATCTCTGTCACTCTGTAAACCATTGACTTTGAGGTGGTGAATGTAAGAGGACAGCAACATGGCAAATGCTTTGTGACAATTTTAAGTTCAGAGTATTCATACCATGCTGCCAGTGCTGGTATTTGGATGGAGACGAGGTTAGGTATGTGCAGCTGTTTCACGTAAGACAGGAGATGAGTGAGGAGCAAAAGGACCAAGGACTTTCCTAAACTGTATCAACGAGTCCAAGGAGAGTTTGTTTTGGGTTGATATGGATAGCCTTTTGTTCACTCATCCATTAATTGAAAGGATCACATTCAAGCTGTCCAAACATTTTCCTGTCCAGCTTGGATAGGAGGGTTTAGCCTTAGACTACATCCACATTGAGCCAACTGAAGTCTGAAAACACTGCTTAAATTGTGATTTATTACAGCCAAACTCATGATATAGTTTCTCCCATATCTGTCAGTTTAATATGAAGCTAGAGCCAGGAGATGGTTAGCTTAGCTTAGCATAAAGACTGGAAGGGGGAGTAAAAAGCTAGCTTGGCTCTGCCCAAAGGTTAAAAAGATCTGCCTACCAGCACCTATAACATGCTCTAATAAACACATTGCATTTTGTTCAATCCGCACAAAACCCAAAGCAAAAAACACAAGTTGCTTTTTTTGTTTTCTCCATGAGGTTTCCACACCACCGGTGGAGACTCTAGGAAGTCACTGCTCCTGGCCAACAAACAGTTTGACACATAACCCCCCCTAAAATCACAAGTTGACGTTTTTACACTATATTTCTTGTACAAATGATTGAATTAGTGAGTTTCATAGGCAGAAAGAGCCAGGCTAACAGTTTCCAGTCTTTACACAAGCTAATAACCATCTCCTGGCTCTAGCTTCATATTGAACTGACAGATATTGGAGGGGTGTCAATCCTCTCATCTAAGTCTGGACAATAAAGCAAATAAATGTATTTCCCAAAGTATTGAACTATTCCTTTAAGTGTTTGTCAGTTTCTTCAGGAAGTATTTCAGAGCAAAACCATTCAAATCTTCTTTAACCATAGCCAGCCTGTTCAATCCTTGATGTAGGCTTTTGAGTCATAGCACCTTGTGGTGAAATCACTTAGTAGAGAGTCATTTGCATGACCTGCACTGTTCCCTATTCAGGAGTGGCAAGGCTGAACAGCTGCCTGTAATTCCGCACTCATTAAACTAGTCATAATGGGTCTGGTATGATAGAGAACACAGTGATGTTGCCATACTGGTCCTGCTTCCGAAAGAGTAAAGTAAAATGGCACTCTGTCTGACTGTTGAGAAAGTAGAGTTTAATCATAGGCTGTCAAAATGTTGTTTTGCACACATTTCACACTCACTTAGGGTTTAACAAGCGAGAACCTCATCGCCATCATCGGTAGGCAAACAGTGGAGTGTTTGCCTCCGCACCCCAATTACCCTGTACGCCCTTTGACACCCCTGTCCATATGATACACACACATCGGGGAATTAGACTGAGGATTGAGTCTGGAGGAAGCACGTGTTGCTGTGACTACCAAAGAATATTTGTTAAATGTCAGGCTTTCTTTGGATTGAGCAGGACTCTAATATGAAAATGGAAAATACTGTTATGTGCTGTTGCTGCAGTTTTTTTTTTCTTTCATTGATCTGGAACAGAGCAAAATACAGAAGTGAAACGCAATTATCTTCCCTTTAGAAGCAGTTCCTGCTGTGTTGGTCAGGAGGGGATGTTATAGCTGTAGACTAAGTCTCCAAAACATCATCATCTTTCATGGACATAACAAAACCAAAATGCCATTTTCAAGTTGACATCTGCTTTGTTTTCACAGTGCCCAACTTTTTTAACATCTTGTTGTTTATTTTAGGAAGATGTGGAGTTTCATCTTTCGTGTGGGTTTTTTGCTAAGAAAGAGGAAATGCTCAAGATCCAGACCATAGTCAATTATCAGTAAACAGACTGTGGTTGAGGGAAGCCTCTGTGGGCTGATTCTTGTTAGCTGCCAGTTGTCAAGGAAACACCCATTTGTGTTTCTGTGTAGCTAACATTAACAAGCATCACATATATGCAGTTTCATGAGCTGAGCTGACAGGGTTTTGGTCTCCATTCCCACCCCTGCATAAAAGCCAATATTGTATAGTGCTGTAAATTAAGGCCTCACCGAACTGCAATGTAACAAGTATGTAGTGAATATTTCTCGATCGTTAACTTTGCACTTCACTCCAGCCGAATTAGGGGCAGCTGCTCAAACTGCCTTGTCTCCTCTGCTTGTAAAGATCAGAGGGCACAGAGGGAAAAATAGGACAGAGAAACAGAGATTCAGTCAGTGAGTGAAGTGGTGATTGAGCAAGAAAAAGCTATTAGACGGAGGGCATGACAGATAAGGTGAATAAAAAAGGGGACAGCAATTCTAATAAAAAAAATAGAGGATATTGATCTAGAGCGCAACAGTTGGGTTATCACTGGTGCTCCTCTCAGTCTCCTCAACATTGTAGAGCCTTGCACAATTGATTTTTCATCTGTTCTGTACAGTGTAAAGGCTACTTGTTGTTGTTTTTAAAATCACATTTATGGTAGTTATTAGAGCACCCAGAGTGCCTCATCTTCTGAAGGGACACAAGTGCACACTATCCAAAGGGTGCACTTGACAGAGTTTATGGATCTTCAACAGGTTTTAGAGCTGCATTCGGCTCAGAAATGTAAATTCCCACAGTAAAACCAGCACATGAGAAAGACAGATGACAAATACTTATCATACTTACCAGGAAATGCTCTCACAGCTTATTTATAGCAGGGACTCTACCGAATGTTCTTCTGAAGTAAAATGTTAAAGATTATACAAGTTAATCTATCATCTAACCGAATCTCAAAATGTGGAGCTTCAGACTTATATTCAGACAAGATATACTAGATTTACTATCCAGTAGGAGAATTTGTAGTAGAGATACACATTTTACGGCTCCATCCCTATGCGGTTATTAAATAAAAATAAATTCCAGTATGGGGAGCGATGCAACAACATCAAACAAACACTTGATCTCCATGGCAAATTTCAGCCTCATAGATAGAAACCTGCGGTTACTATAGGGTGGCCACAGCTATCTTGCGCCTTTTTGCTATAGACCAAGCCCATTGCCATGCTCCGTTTTAGACAATTGGCATGAACACAAACATACACAATTATACTGAAAAAATCTCTTTCAGGGACATTACATAGACTTAAATTTATTCTATGGAGACTTGTATTTTTGTTTTCCACGCTTTACTGCTAATAGAAAAGACCAACACCTTTGAGACAAGAAACAGCTGAGCTTATTATGTGAGCATACCATGCTCAGGAATTCCAAATCTCACGTGTGTGTGTATGTGTGTGTGTGTCTTTGCAAGCAATACCTTACACATTGTTGAAGCTATAAACTTGTTTGTCCTGTCATACAGTGGTTAGAATCCTGAATCATCCTGCCCACAAACATGCACACACACTTACCAGCCAAAACA